ATAAAAAGTCGGTGGCGACTCTTACTAAACTGAAACATTTGCAAACACAAACGCAAAACACCAAGTCAGTTCTCCCACCGTATCACCAGACATGTTCTCCTCCATCAAATTTTGACAATTTTGCACCTGATTCCATTAGCGTCGAAGTTGGATTACAGCTTTCCATCTTATAATTTTTCAATATTTCTTTTGCATACTTTTCTTGTGAAATAAAGATTCCTTTTTCTTCTTGTCGAACCTCCAGACCAAGAAATAATCTCATCAGACCTAAGTCTGTCATTTCGAATTCACGTGTCATTGTGCACTTGAGTTCTTCTATCATTTGATCATTACTGCCTAGAAAAATAAGGTCATCGACATAGAGAGCAACAAGTAATACATTACTTCCATTTTTCTTTATATAAATGACATGTTCATACGGACATTGCTCGAATCCATTTTCCTTGAAATATATGTCGATACGTGTGTTCCATGCCCGCGTTGCTTGCTTTAGTCCATATAGCACTTTTTCAATTTCAACACCTTATTCTCTTCTCCAATCCTCATATACCCGAGTGGTTGTTCGAAATAGACTTCTTCTTCCAGTATACCATTCAAAAATGTTGTCTTGACATCCATTTGAAATATCGACCATTTGTATTGAGCAGCTTGAGAAATGAGCAATCAAATTGTCTCCATTCTTGCAACAGGTGCAAATACTTCGTCATAGTTGACTCCTGCTTTCTGTTTGAACTCCTTCGCAACAAGTCGCGCTTTATATCGTTCTATTTCTGCTTGAGCGTTCATCTTTTTCTTGAATACCCACTTTACACGAATGGGTCGACTGCCTTTTGGAAATTCGACTAGCTCTCAGGTGTTGTTGCGGTCCATTGCTCTAATATCTTCGTCCATGGCACTTTTCCACTTCTTGTCTCGTAGCACTTCTTCGAAACTGATGTTTTCAGCATCTTCCAAAAGGCATACAAGGTGTACCTCATTTGTTGAATCATAGAAATCTTGCAAACTTCGCATTCTAGGTTGTAGAGGTTCATCTTCATTTTCATAATCTTCATGTTTTGTCGAGATGCTTGTTGATACAATCATAGATGATTCTTCGACTTTGTCGATAACTTCTGTCAATTTGTTCCAGTCCCACTTGCTCGCTTTGTTTATTCGAACGTATCTACTCATTATCACCTTCTTGCTTATGGGATCAAATAGCTTGTATCCTTTTGTCTTTTCATCATACCCAACAAATATGTACTTTTGACTTTTGTCTTCTAGTTTTGTTCTTTGTTAATTTGGCACATGTGCATAAGCTACACTACCAAATACTTTGAGATGAGAAATTGTTGGTTTTTGTTCGCTCCATGCTTCTTGTGGTGTTTGATCTTCTAACTTTAAATGTGGACATCGATTCTGAACATAAATGTCACATTGTACAGCTTCTGCCCAGAATTCTTTTGATATGTTCTTGCTCTTAAGCATTGATCGAACTATGTCAAGAACTATTTGATTTTTTCTTTCAGCCACACCGTTTTGTTGAGGTGAATATGGTGCATTTAGGAATCTCCTTATGTCCTGCTCTTCACAATACTTCATAAAGGCTGTCGAAATATACTCACCACCTCTGTCAGATCGAACTGTTTTGATATATCTATCGGTTGCCTTCTCCGCCGTTACTTTGAACTTTTTGAACACCTCTAATGCTTCAGTTTTTCTTTCAAGAAATAAACCCAGGTTTTTTGTGAAAAATCGTCGATAAAGGAAATGAAGTACCTTTTTCCACTGAAAGATTCAGAGTGATTGGCCCACATATTTCGATATGAATCAATTCGAGAATATGTTTAGCTTGATATTTTTCCTTCTTTTGAAATGAGGTTCTTGTTTGTTTGCTAGGCACACATTCTTCACAAAACTTTCCTCCATAATCCATGTCTGGTAGTCCTTGCACCATGTTCTTTTTCGCCAACCTTCTCAAACTAGCATGATATAGATGACCAAAGTGCAGATGTCATAGTGGCGCTTGTCTTGCATGTCGACTTGTAGACATTTCTCTCGAACGTTCCTTAGATTCAGTTTGTACATTCGATTTCTTTTCATTTCGACACGAGCGATCAGATGTCCTACTTTATCCTTCAAATGTCGTATCCGATCTTTTAGAAGTTTTGAAAAACCTTTTTATGTAAGTTGTCCCAAACATAAGATGTTGGTCTTGAGGTCTGGTACTTAGTAAACATCTTGGATTGATCCAATCAAGCCATCCTTCTGTAAGTAACAGATTGTACTTTTGCCTTCGACCTTCACTTTCGATGCATCTCTGAAAGACACATTACTGTCTTCAATTTTTTTCATTTCTTTAAACAGGTGTTTGTGACCACACATGTGATTACTTGCTCCTGAGTCAAGATACCAAAAATTGTCATTATTGGTGTTGATTTCATTTTGGGCCATCAAGAGAAAACCTTCATTCGCTTTAACTTCCAAATCTAGATTGGTTGTTTCTTCTACCTTCCTTTTGATTCGACAATCTTTTGCAAGATGTCCCACTTTATCATAGTTGTAGCATTTGTAGGAATTGCAATCCTTCACGTAATGACCATACTTCCCACACTTGTAGCATTCGAAGTTGGAGTGGTTTGACCGACCACCTCTTTGACCATGTTCGATCTGCCACACCAATTTTGCTGGTTCGACTGTCCTCTCTCAAAGTTGTTGCCTCGACCACTTCAACCACTGTCTCGGCCTCCACAGCCACATCCTCTTCCTCGAAAGTTTTGAGAAAAGAGTATATTTTCGTCTTTGATCGACTCCTTGGTTTGATTTTCTTCATCGACTGTTTCTTCCTTCTTTTTCATCTTACGTTGTTCATGTGCTTCGAGAGAACCAGCGAGCTCTTTGACTGAGAGCGTCGAAAGTTCCTTTGACTCTTCTATTTCACACATAATATTCTCAAATTTATCTGTTAAAGATCTCAAAATCTTTTTAGCAGCTCATGCATCAGTTACTGTTTCTCCATTTCTAGTGAGTTGGTTCACCACCTTTTGTACACGCGTGATGTAGTCATATACATTTTCTGACTCCTTCATCTGCATCTTCTCCAATTCGCCACAAAGAGTTTAGAGTCGAACTTGCTTCACTTGGTCTGCTCCTTTGAACACTTTCTCTGACATGTCCCATGTTTCTTTCGACGTAGTCGAACCGACAATCTTTTCGAAGCCTGATTCGTTAATAGTCCTGAATAACATGTATAGTATCGTTTTATCCTTCGATTGTGTCTCTTTCAACGTCTTGTTTTGAGCTGTCGTATATCCCACAACATCTGTTAGTTTTCAAACTCATCTCTGGTCACCTCCCACGCGTCTAGAGATCTAAGAAGAGCTTTCATTTAGATACTCCAATTTTTGTAATTTGACTTCGTAAGCCGTGACAACGATATTTGATTCATCATGTTTATCATTAGCTCTGATGTCAATTTGTTAGAAAGAGAAAACAAATACTTTATAATTTCTTGTATCTACTTATCAAATAGAATACAACTTTGGTCTTTATATAGACTCAAAGATTTCTACTATTCTTGGAAAGTAAATAATATTAGTAAATATTATTATAAGTCACTATTTCTTGGCCTTCCAACTAAAATAGACTCTTAATCTTTTCACTAAGTTATTAATAGAACCCACTAACTATAACATTGAAAATTTATTCAACAATCGCAACACCTTTCAACCTCATGAGTTGCAACCACAATTTAAAACCATATCTCTTACCAAATAACCTATAATAAGTCTACCGTCTAACATTATTGCATGAGTGTTTCACTTCATCTAATTATCTAAATTTTTATATAGCAAAAGAAAGAATATCCTACCTAAGTCTCAAAAATAGAAACCTGCTGCATACCAGAAATAACCAGGCCATAGCTACTGCCATGAATGTGATTACAGTATATGGTTCATAAATTAATGTCTTATTTTCTCCAACACTGAACTTAAAAAGCCTCGAGACTTCTTATTGATTTTAATGCCAATTCTTTGATAGTACATCATGACAGAAAAAGAGGACTATCAATTATTATTGTCTCTTCTGACTCAATAATAGATATTGAATTTGAAGCATCAAGGAGAAATATTTATATATATAGATCATGTACTAATTAGTTTAAAACTAATCATATCCTAACAAACTTTTTAAATGTTGATATATGGTTAATCCCCTATATATAAGATGAAGAAAGTTCTGATCATATGCAGAAATATCCTTAATCTGTACACTGATTTTTTGCACAAGAGAATTATATAAGGTTCAACCTATATCATATGTATCATGTATGACAATTTCATTCCTCATCTCTGTAAAATAGAGTATCCGTGTCCTTGTCTGGAAGCGATACTGAAACTTGTAATTACGATTAATTTATTCACTTTTTCATATTATTAACAGTTTTGGCGTGTTACTGTTGGTGTTTCAGGTATCCGCGCTTTATAGAATTTAAGCAACTGATTAATTTTGATTCAACGGAAAACATCTCTATGAATCTCAGCATCAGATTAATTTTGACTCAACAGAAAAAGTGCAAACTCCATATACAGATCATGAAATGATATATTGATAGAGTGTAACAAAAAAGACCCAGAATCAAAAGTTGAATCTGTTTACACTCACATCAAATCACATCTACTCAGTATGGTGCAAACCCGATACTCAGTAGATCGTACGGAACTCTATCAGATTCAGACAGTTCATTACCTAAAACAAAAACCTATTTCATAATGGAAAGAAAATGACCTAATTTAAAGATCCTTCCTTGTATTTACACACTGAACCAAGATCAGCATCGAGATCGATGAAAAACCCAACTAGGTTACCGCAAATTGACAACAAAGAAGCGCAATTAAAGTCTTTTCCTAGCTAGAAAAAGAGGGTAAATTAAGATGTTCCGTACAAGTCACAAGAGCATAAATCCAAAATCAAACAAATCCAAAGAGAAAAAGACAGAAAATGAAAGAATCTGTCTGTCTTCAAAAAGTGTAACTCCAAAGATTATCATCTCCTCCATCAGAATTCCTCGGTGAATGATGGTCGGAAGAGTAATTCGAAAACGAGGTCATCCTTGGTGGACTAACCTGCATTCCTCTCGCCATATCGTCCAACAAATTCGGCATATTCAACAACTCATCCTCATCAATATATTCATAACCTTGTTGTTGTTGTTGTTGTTGCAGCATTCCACTACTAGCTATAGAACTTTCCTCAAAACCAAAACCAGAAGGGTTTTGTTGTTGTTGTTGCATTCCAGTACTAGCTGAAGAACTTCCACCAAAACCAAAACCAGAAACGTTTTCTTGCTGTTGCTGTTGTCTTCCTTGTTCATGTTGATCAGGTGGTTTCACTCTCCTGAGTTTGGCTTGTGCAGCAGCTTCAGCCGCAGCGCGAATATCAGCGGAAGACAAAGAAGCAGGAATAGGGTAAGAAAGTACCGAATCCGGAAAGTTAAGAGTCGTATCAGGTCCTTTTAAAGCAAGAGCAGCAACATCATAAGCAGCTGCTGCCATTTCAGCTTTAGGGTATGTCCCTAACCAAATGCGCTTCGTCTTACGCGGCTCACGTATCTCAGATACCCATTTCCCACTCCTACATCTGGTTCCACGGTATCTTCCAACAACAATACCGGTCGTCGCTGTCGGGGTTGTCGAAGATGAAGGAGTTGTTGGTGCAGATGTAGAAGTTACTACTTTTGGAAGTTGTATAGGTGGTGGTGGAACTGTAGGAGAGTTATAAGGGTTGTTGCCATCCATGAAGAAGAAGAAAAATAATAAAATATTTTGTTGGTTGGGTTGTTGTAGGTTAACTTAGCACATATGATAAACAAGTGGTATTAGAGAGAATATGATGATACTGGCAGTAGTAATACATATATGAATGGTATGTTAGGTAATATATATCTATATATATATATCTATATGTGTACATATAGATATATCGACAATGTGAATGAATGAGGAGAGGAGATTTGTGTGATTTGATTAGAAGAAAAAGAAAGTGAAAGTGATGAACGAATGGGATGAAGCCGTGGGAAAGTCGCGGATTTGAGTTCATTTATTTACAACAAAAGTAGTTTAATTTGAATTGAGGGTGAGGCCACATTGTGAACACGTATTAGCCTCAGAATTTTTGATTATCTGTTAATATACTTATACGAGGAGGATCGTGGGGTGAACTTCACTTGTATATGTCTCTGTCTTAATGGCTATTGAGTACTGCTCACAACAAACACTGTCCCAAAGATAACCACTTTTTTTTCTTCTTTTGTTTTACTATAGATTCACTTTTTAGGTAAATCTTTTTTTTTAAAGTTTTTATTAGTTAAATACTAAAAAAAGGAACAATTTATTTATCTATTACAAAAAAATTGAGTAGTGTACTCTCACCATTTACATAGTAACATTTAACTTTAATTTATTAAATTATTTATTAAATTATATTTTTTTTATAGTTTCTAAAACATTTTATTCTAAAAATAAGTCTATATATTCAACTTTTTGTATTGGATAAATAAGAATTTAATTAAAAATAATTATACAAAAGATAATAAGGATGATGTGCCAAATCTTAACTCAAGCTAAATATATAGCTTGATAGCTTCGGTTTGTAATTTTGGAGACTTACTTTGATCTATCAAGAAGAAGGTGTGGAATTGGAGAGTAATATGAGATATTTCAAATCTTTGGTTAATCGGTTGCATATGCTTTAGCCAATTTAAGATCTATTCTGGATTTAGATTTTAAGTTTTTTTTTATGATTGTCCTGCTTCTATTAAGGAGATTTATGATGGAGATATAAGAGGATTTGCTACTCCTAAAATGATAGTAGTGTATTCCTTCTCTTTTTAGGCTCACTATGCCAAAAGTGATTTTTAACAGTGCACATTAGACAGCGCTTTTATACAAAAGCGCTGCTATAAGTGAATTTTAAAAAAAAAACACGAAAACTGTATAAAATAATTAGTAAAAACACTGTTAAAAATATGACCTTAGACAATGCTTTTAAAAAGCGTTGCTAAAGTATTGCTTTAGAAAGCGCTTTTATCAAAAGCGCTGGTAAAAGTCCACTTTAGACAGCGCTTTAAGAAAGCGCTGTCTAAAGTCATAAAAAATTAAAAAAAAATATCAGAAAAGTGCTGCTAAAGGACCCTATTAGCCAGCGCTTTTCAAAAGCACTGCTATAGGTCCATATTAGCCAGCGCTTTTAGAAAGCGCTGTCTAAAGCCATATAAATGAAAATTAAAAAAAATAGAATTAGTGTATTCACAGATTCAAGAACAGAAAGCGTAACCCTTTCCCTCCTTTGAACATAAAGCGTAACCCTTTTCCTCCTTGAACAGAAACCATAAATCCTTCGCCGTCATACCAGCCCCCCTCCGTCTTCCACCGTCTCTCTCGGTTTTCCTCCACCCACACCGGCCGGTTCTCAAGGTAGGTTCTTTCTTGAAAATGTCTTTATCTCCATTGATGTCCAAACTGAGTTATCCTTCTATTGATAATGTACTATGCTAACATCTAAGACATTATCCTCTTATTGATGTCTAAACTAAGTTATATGTATGCATTTTGATTTTTGGGTTCTTGGTAGGGCTTGATGTATAACAACAACACTTTTAGCATTTAGCATTATTGCATTTTCTTTTGGTTCTTTGTTTTGGAATAAAATAGATGATATATATGATGGGTTTTTTTGTTATTTTAATTGGTTTATGAATTGTTTATCATGTTTATATTCTCCACGAACTAGTATTTTTTTACTACTATTTTGAACATATATATATATATATATATATATATATATATATATATATATATATATATATATATATATATATATATATATATATATATATATATATATATATATATATATATATATATATATATATATATATATATATATATATATATATATATATATATATATATATATATATATACAACTTGTTTTTGATGATCCCTTTGTATTGGTGTAGTTAGTCGAAGACCATCACCGATTCGAAGAACATCAAATCCGTATCATCCGCTGTCGACACCAATAGCCCCTTTTCTTTCTTTGGTAAGTCAAGTTCAAATTCTATCTATATCGATCAATTAAAAAACATAATTATTTTTATATAGATATATTTATTTTTAGTCCATGTTATTAACTCTAGAAATAAATTTCTAGAAATAATTCGTTTAATTCAAACAAAAAGAGAATAATTTGTTTATAGTGTTTTTGTTTTCTTGAATAAGTAGAAAAAAATGAATAAAAATGGATGTTTGCCGATCGATTGTCACAAGAGTATGAGAATTGGGTATTGGAATTCGTTAAGTTTGCTGTTGAACACGCCAAAGATCCCAGTCGAATGAAGTGTCCTTGCTTGGGTTGTTGTTATGTGGGTCGGGTTAACGCAGATGGATTGAAATCGCATTTACTAATGCGTGGAATTGATAGAAGTTATACGTGTTGGATATTTCACGGTGAAAAAAGTAACGACAACGTTGAATTGGGGGAGAAAAGTAGTACGGCCTATGCTTCAGACAACAAGGACACATATACATACGATTTTGATCGAGTCGAAGAGATTGCAGATGCACTTGAAGAAGATCTTTAGGATTGTCCCAAAATGTTTGAGAGATTGGTAAGCGATGCAGAGAAACTGTTGTATGAAGGTTGCACTAAATTCACAAGACTGTCTGTGGTATTAAAGTTGTACAACTTAAAGGCGGGCAATGGATGGTCAGATAAAAGTTTCAGAGTTATTAGCCCTTATGAGAGATATGCTTCTGGAGGATAATGTTCTTCCTAATCGAACCTATGAGTCCAAAAAAATGTTGTGCTCTATTGGCATGAGCTATGATAAGATACATGCTTGTCCAAACGATTGCGTTTTGTTTCGAAACAAATATGCATCGTTAAATGAGTGCCCTAAATGCGTTTTGTCTCGATATAAGAAAAAATTGTCTCCAGCAAAAGTCTTATGGTATTTTCCTATAATTTCGAGATTTAGGCGCATGTTTCGTAGTGAAACTGATGCAAGACACCTTACTTGGCATGCAGATGAAAGAATTATTGATGGAAAGTATCGACATCCGGAAGATTCACCACAGTGGTCGAAAATTGATAATGATTATCCTGATTTTGGAGAAGAAGCAAGAAACCTTCGCTTGGCTTTATCTACTGATGGAATGAACCCGCATGGTCTTTAAAGTATCTCACATACCACATGGCCTGTGATTCTTATGATTTATAACCTACCTCCATAGCTATGTATGAAGCATAAGTACATGATGTTATCTATGTTAATATCTGGGCCTAAACAACCAGGGAATGACATAGACGTATACTTGACACCTTTGATCAAATATTTAAAGATTTTGTGGGAGAACGGGGTGGAGGTTTATGATGGATATAGGAAACAATTTCAATTTGAGGGCGATGTTGTTTGGCACAATTAATGATTTTCCAGCATACGGGAATCTATCTGGGTATAGCATTAAAGGTCAAAGTGCGTGTCCTGTTTGTGAAGATGGAACTGATACGACGCGTTTGGAATTTTGTCAGAAGAATGTGTTTCTTGGTCATCGTAGATTCTTACATTCTAAACATCACTACCGTGCATGGAGAAAAGAATTCAATGGAGACAACGAACAACGTAAAGCTCAACCTGCATTGTCAGGTGACCAAACTTTTGAAAAGGTGAAAGATGTGTGTACTCAGTTTGGCAAGCCTTTTGCGCATACGGTTATCAATGGTGGGTGGAAGAAGAGATCAATTTTTTTTGAATTTCCATATTGGAAGTCTCTGTATGTGAGACATTTTCTCGATGTTATGCATATTGAAAAAAAATGTATTTGAAAGTGTTATTGGTACGTTACTCAATATTAAAGGAAAGTCTAAGGATGGCCTTAAAGTAAGGGAGGACATGTTAAAGATGGGAATACGAACTGAACTAGGACCTGTGAAGAAAGGAAGCCGAATATATCTACCACCTGCTGCTTTTACTCTATCTAGAAAGGAGAAAAAGATTTTGTGTAAGTTTCTAAGTGAAGTTAAAGTTCCAGAAGGATACTCTTCAGATATTAGAAGACTTGTGTATATGAAATACCTCAAGTTAAATAGTTTAAAGACACATGATTGCCATGTTATAATGGAGCATTTTCTACCAATAGGTATAGGTTTTATTTTTCCAGATAAAGTAAGGAGTGCGATAACTAAGTTGTGTTTTTTCTTTAGGTCAATTTGTAGTAAGGTGATTGATCTTGAGATCTTACCAACATTGTAAAAAGAAATTGTTATTACTTTGTGTGAGCTTGAAATGTATTTTCCTCCCTCATTTTTTGACATAATGGTACATCTAGTTGTTCATCTTGTGAAAGAGACACAGTTGTGCGACCCAGCTTATATGAGATGGATGTACCCTGCTGAACGTTATATGAAAGTATTAAAAGGGTACGTGAAAAACCAAAGTCGCCCAGAGGGTTATATTGTTGAGTGATACATTGTTGAAGAAGCGGTTGAGTTTTGTACTGAATATTTGTCCAAAGTTCAATCCATTGGACTCCCCAAAAGTCATATTTTTGAAAAAAAAGGAAGGTAAAAGATTAATTGGAAATAAAATTGTGACAGTATCAAAAGATGAACGGGATCAAGTGCATCTGTATGTTCTGCACAATGACTGTGAGGTTGAGCCATATGTTGAAATGCACAAGGATGTACTCCGAGGGTTAAATCATAATAGAAATGAAAATTGGATAGTACGGGAGCA